GCCCCTTTAAAGTGTGCGCCCTGATTTAATAGTCCCGCATTTTGTTTTGTCCTGTAATATGCTGCATAGTTAGTTCCCTATCAGATCAGATCAGATCGCTTAATGACTGACGACTTTATGGTTCGTTATGCGCGGGTAGAGACTGTACCGTACGGCTGGCACATGAAAAACACTTTTAGTGTACCGCTGAAATAAAATTCTTGGAATTCAAATTTGTTTTGCTTGCTCGCAAATTCCTCGTTGTATATATTATATCTAGTGCATTTCCATGTAAAATGTAAGTTTAAATTTGCTTGGGGATAATCTTGGGAACTTAAATTCCAAGCAGCTTAAGCAACATCGACGAAATTCCTAGATAACTATGAGCGAAAATTCCTTAAATAGAAGGCGTTTGCAATGCTTTAAGAAAGTTGGATTATTTCTAAAAACTTTCGAATAATAGGTAAAAATATTCCAGCTGGGAGTGCCCGACTAAGAGATAACCTTGGATAAGAGGTATGCTAGTTATGATATACACAGTCATTGCCTTACTATAATTGCCTAAAGACTTTAAACAGATCCAAGTTATTTCTGGCAGATTCTCTTATTCAACTTTATAATCTCTTAACATATGATTTTATACTACAGACTTAGCTTAAAGCTTAAATAATCGTAAGACAATTTTGGCTGCGATTACGTTCGTTAACATAGTTCGTTCGACATATGTAGTTCCACTCTACCCCATCTTCATTAATAATAATTACTATTATAATTATTTTCGAAATATTTCTCAAATATTTCTCACTTCTGCTCCCACCTGCTCCACCTGTATTCCAACCACATGCTAAGCACTCATTATCATCGCTGAGCAACTCTTATGAATGGCTTTGAACCGCGCTGAAATAGTTGTTAAAAAACATGACGCATGCTAAGTGCGCGAACAAAGCGCACCAAAGCAGCTGCAACAAAAGGAGAGCTAAAAGGCAAAATATGGAAAATAGAAAATGTAAAACCGCAATCAACATATGCGAACTCTAAAGTAGAGCAAACCGAGGCGCCAAGCGTCAGCTTTGCCAGCTTTACCAGCTTTAAGGCTCGCCTCAGCGCCTCAAAGGTAGAAAATGCCACTTGAGCTCGCGGCATTTTGCTGAAACAAAGGCAGAAAGAGAAAAAATTGCATTCAAACGATCCAAAAAGGAAAAGTAAGTGTGTTATGCTATATATTGCCAGACTAGAAGATACCCTGAGTTGATGGAAAGAGCGATGGAATTTTTATTTTGTATCTTAACTTGTATACTTTTATAAATCTTTGAAGACTTGGATGTAGATTTGAATTTATATCTGGAACTACATCCTGTAAAAAGATTGATAATGAGTGTGATTATTAAATATCTAATTTGCCCAAGCTTGACTATATTTAATCAAAACTAGTAAACAAATTGTACAGATTTTTTTCATAATCAAGGAAAGTCTTGCTTCTTCTCACACGAATGCTCAGCAGGCTTCCTTCGAAGCTGCTGCTGAACAAATATTGATACACAACAATCGATAGGCAGGCAGCAACTCCTGCCCACCTCCTTTTTAATATACCTCTGCACTTACACGCTCTCAAGGGGTGCACAAAAAAGAAGCCAGCAAAGCAGGCGTGGCAAAAGTGCTGCAACACTTGAAGCCCAAAGGATTCGATTGCATTGCAGTGCAGCGTGTGTGCGTATGCAGGCAGAAAAAGGATGCCAAAGGATGCGAGTTGCAAGTGCTAGCCGCCTGGATCGACGATTGACTGGCTGCCTGGTAAACATATATTCATTTGAAGCGCTGTGCAAAAACTCATTAGAGACGCTGCGTAAATAGCTGACAGCCAAACCCAAGCATCGAGGATACAAAATTGCAATTATATAATATCCGTTCAGAGAGAGAAAGAGAGAGAGATAGGGGAGTGTACAAGTGTGCACTTAGCACTTGAATTCAATTGCTTGTTGATATTTTAGCAAAAGTTATCAACGCATATTCCAGCTGAACAGTCAGCCCACTTGCAGGACATTTAAAGCTGGGCTAACATTTTCATTCTATTAAAAAGTTGCCAAGTGGCTGCAAAAGTGCAATGCCAAGCCCATTAGCTGTGCTATCTAGATGCGTGTGTGTGTGTGTATGTGTTCGTTCGTGTCTCGTAAGCAACTTCCTGTGCAGCAGCATTAGCAACACTTAAGGACACTTTTGCCGGCTACTGGCAACAGGAAGCACAGAGCAAGCAAAACTCATGCCAGCAGCCCGCACAATCTAAAGATCCTCCTCTCTCTCTCTCACACTCTCTGTCGTTGTCTCTCTTGCTCTTCTGCCCGCCCCTAGCTAGAATTCTACATTAAGTTAATTTGCAACGTGCACAGCAAGCAAAAACTAAGTAGCAGCTGTAGGGGCAGGCAGAGGCAGCGGCAGAGGCAGGGGAGGAGATGGCAACTCCTGCCAAGGCTATACTCAGTGCAGCAGCGGGTAGATGGTCGGGTGTCTGCCTTGTGTCATCGATGAGCTAATTTAACGCTGATTTACGATGATTGGCAGTGCAGTCACGGAAGGATAGCCAAAGGATAGAAAACACAGGATACGCCCACTGATTGAGCCATCCACAATGCGAGTTTCTGTGCAGCGCACGCGATGACCTTAAAAGTCACTGCAATTCAATTGACACTTTCCTCACTAACCAGCCAAGAAGATGTCCTTTATACGCCCTATGCGGCCATAAAAGGCTTCGTTCATTAGTCCAAAGGCAAGGGTTTCACATTACACGAGGCTCCAGTTAAGCTGGGTATCTAATTTGTCTCTGTGTGTGTGTGTGTGCGGTTGAGTACAGCAAACCACAAAAGCAGAACAGTTAGAGAGAGGGAGAGGGACAGAGATTGACAGTTTGAGTAGCAGGAGAGAGCATGACAGAGGCCTGGACTAAACCAAATTACAATTTAATGACAAATGATTCACAATGTTGCTCAGCTCCCAGCATTGTAAATAAGTCCCAGTTTGCGGCTCTACGGCTCTTTAATGGATCATTTTTGGTTTAATTAATAGTAAAATGACTTTGTACATGCTGTGCTTTACAACTCTATCCGTAGCTGAATTATGAGAAAAGATGATAAATGAAGACTTATGGTATTTAATAAACAGATAATGTTCAGATCTTTCCTTAGTTAAAGATATCTTTACTTAATACATATCTTCACTACATCCCAATTTTTTACGAAATTGCACATTGATATTTATATAAATACATCTACTACATTTTCATTTAATCTGAATCATGCCACAGCTTTGTTTCTCTCCTCCTCTTAGCTGCATTTATTTTTGTTATACCCTGAACCCATTGAAAATGGGAAATCAGGGTATAATGGTTTTGTTAAAATGTATGTAACAGGCAGAAGGAGGCGTGGCAGACCCCACAAAGTATAT